ATCAGTATTGGGGGAATTCAAATTCATACTTTAACATAAACTCAGTAGGAAGGAAAATATTTATACAACAAATCAAATAATTTGCAATTATAAAATGTTAACTTGTTTTATAAAAGATAAAAAATTGTAATAACAAATTGTTAATCTGAAATTATAATTTGATGAATTGTAAATACAAATGAAATAAATAAAATCTGTAGTATTTAGGTGCCTTGAAAATCTATAGTGAGGTCGTTATTATTGGTCGACCTTTCCCTACACCTTGATCTACATGTTTAGGCCTTGAAATAAATTCCAAGCAACACATTCCAGACAATTATTTAGCCATCCTTCTTTATTTATCATGATAGTTAGACTGACAACACTTTGTTATAAATAGTGACTTTAACCCACTTCCCCCAATAAAAATTCATGTAATCGATAGGTTATACCTCCTTAAATTTAAATTGAAATTTAAACTTAAATTTTCAGTGCAGGCGTTCATTAAAAAATATTTTTACAAAGTCGCAAAGTCCAAATGTAGACTTCAAAGCTAAGTATGCATGAAAGTTTGATATGTTTGATGTCAAAGAACATATCGTATTAATTTCTCGAACGGTCTATAACATGGTCATTTCAGGCCAAAAATAAATAAACAAATTAGTGAACAAATAAACGTACAAATAAACCTCATTTTACAGCAAAGGACTTTCTCTTCTTTAGTGAACAAAATTATCTAAAAACTATAATGGTTATTATCGAATATTTCAATTTAATTTTGTTTGGTATTTCAAATTAAAACAAAATGTGTTTGTGAAACACTGATGTCCCTGTATGGCAGCTTTTGACAATGGTTAAAGTTTCTCAAATGCAACTCAAACTCAAATATTAAGGACATACGCAACGTACCTTACCTACTGATAATTTTTCAAGATATTCTTAATTTAAGATTATAGTGCCATCAGATGTTCGTAGACAAAAAATCAGCATGCATTACCAGGGGTTTTGAAAAGATATCAATTGATGAAAATTCTTGTATAATTCAAAGAAAAATATACAAAAATTATTAAACATATATTCTAGATGTTTTGTTTATCCAAATTTGTTTTAGAAGAAGTGTACAACAGCATATATAGACATTAAAATGTAGCACACAGTTCCTTTAAGTATTGGAAATCTTCAACTCCAGGGAAAAAGACAATAAAGTTCAAACTACGTTGCGTATGTCCTTAATAGCTGAAAAATGTTGTTACCCAAAGAAAGGACTCTCAGTGAATATATCTGAGAACTAAGAAATTCCAGTCACTAACCATTCAAAAGGTTTAGCTCAGGTTAAAGTTTTTTAAATGTGGGTCAAACTGCAAGGTCAAGGTCAAAGGGTCAAATTAAAGGTACCCAGGGTAAGGCTTTGTCATAAGAAATACACATGTAAAACATTAAAGAATTAGCACCAACTGTTCAAAATATATGGCCAAGATTAAAGTTTTTCAAAAGTATGTCTTATTCCAAGATAAAGGTCAAAATTTCAAATATGTCGGAACCCAAAGAAAGGATTTGTCACAAGGAATACACATGTGGAAAATAATAGCCCTGATACTAATTTCTCAAGGTTAAAATTTTTAAAAGTTGGTAAAACTCAAAGGTCAAGATCAATTTTTTTAATATCCGTTCAAAGGTCTTGCTACTATGAATACACATACTAGTATAAAGTATGAAAGCCCTTGCACCAACTGTTGAAAAGTTATAGCCAAAGTTATATTATTGTATAAATTCTTGAAAAAGTGGGAAAAACTCAAAGATCAAGGTCAAAAAAGTCAAATATGTTAGAACCCAAACAAAGGCCTTATCACAAGGAATGCACATGTGAAATATGAAAGCCATAGGTCCAACCAATAAAAAGTAATGGGCACGTTTTTGCGGACAGACAAACAGATGATGGGTATACAGACCCTGGTGATAGATGTACAGCTCTAGTGATAGATAATAGAGACCCTGGTGATAAGTATACAGACCCTTTTAATAGATAATACCGACCTTGGTTATAGAAATACAGACGCTGGTAATAGATATACGGACCCTGTTAATAGGTCCACAGTCTCTGGTGATAGGTATACACACCCTAGTGATGGGTACATACAGACCCTAATGACAGATAATACACACCCTTGACATAGATTTATAGATTTAGACCCTGTTCATAGATACCCAAACCCTGGTGATGGGTATACAGACCCTGGTGATGGGTATACAGACCCTGGTGCTAGGTATACAGACCCTGGTGATAGATAGTACAGACCCTGGTGATAGTTATACAGACCCTGGTGGTAAGTATACAGACCCTGGTGATAGGTATAGAGACCCTGGTGATAGGTATAAGGACACTGGTGATAGGTATATAGACCCTGGTGATAGATAATACAGACCCTGGTGATAGGTATACAGACCCTGGTGATGGGTATATAGACTCTGGTGATAGGTATACAGACCCTGGTGATGGGTATACAGACCCTGGTGATGGGTATAAAGACCCTGGTGATAGATAATACAGACACTGGTGATGGGTATACAGACCCTGGTGATAGGTATACAGACCCTGGTGATAGGTATAAAGACCCTGGTGATAGGTATAAGGACCCTGGTGATAGGTATATAGATCCTGGTGATAGATAAAACAGACCCTGGTGATGGGTATACAGACCTGGTGATGGGTATACAGACCCTGGTGATAGGTATACAGACCCTGGTGATAGGTATACAGACCCTGGTGATTGGTATACAGACCCTGGTGATGGGTATATAGACTCTGGTGATAGGTATACAGTCCCTGGTGATGGATATACAGACCCTGGTGATAGGTATACAGACCCTGGTGATAGGTATACAGACCCTGGTGATGGGTATACAGACCCTGGTGATGGGTATAAAGACCCTGGTGATAGATAATACAGACACTGGTGATGGGTATACAGACCCTGGTGATAGGTATACAGACCCTGGTGATTGGTATAAAGACCCTGGTGATAGGTATAAGGACCCTGGTGATAGGTATATAGATCCTGGTGATAGATAAAACAGACCCTGGTGATGGGTATACAGACCTGGTGATGGGTATACAGACCCTGGTGATAGGTATACAGACCCTGGTGATAGGCATACAGACCCTGGTGATTGGTATACAGACCCTGGTGATGGGTATATAGACTCTGGTGATAGGTATACAGTCCCTGGTGATGGATATACAGACCCTGGTGAAAGGTATACAGACCCTGGTGATGGGTATACAGACCTTGGTGATAGATAATACAGACCCTGGTGATGGGTATAAAAACTCTGGTGATGGGCATTTACACCCTTGTGATAGGTATACAGACCCTGGTGATAGGTTTATAGACCCTGGTGATAGATATACAGTTCCTGGTGATAGATAATACAGTCCCTGGTGATGGATATACAGACCCTGGTGATGGGTATACAGACCCTGGTGATAGATAATACAGACCCTGGTGATAGGTATACAGACCCTGGTGATGGGTATATAGACTCTGGTGATAGGTATACAGACCCTGGTGATGGGTATACAGACCCAGGTGATGGGTATAAAGACCCTGGTGATAGATAATACAGACACTGGTGATGGGTATACAGACCCTGGTGATAGGTATACAGACCCTGGTGATAGGTATAAAGACCCTGGTGATAGGTATACAGAATCTGGTGATAGGTATACAGAATCTGGTGATAAGTAAAGAGACCCGGGTGATAGGTATACAGGCCCTGGTGATGGGTATACAAACCCTGGTGATGGGTATATAGACCCTGGTGATAGGTTTATAAACCCTGGTGATGGGTATACAGACCCTGTTGATGGGTATACAGACCCTGGTGACGGGTATATAGACCCTGGTGATAGGTACATAGACCCTGGTGATAAGTATACAGACCCTGGTGATAGGTATACAGACCCTGGTGATAGGTATATAGACCCTGGTGATGGTATACAAACTATGGCAATACATAAACAGACCCTGGTAATAAGTATACAAACCCTGTAAAAATAATTAATTTATAAAAGAAATATATGATAAATGCATAAATAAATCAATAAATAAATGCAAAAATAAATCAATCAATCAATAAAGAAATAAAAAATAAAGAAATAAATAAAAATATGAATAAATGAATGCATAAATAAATAGATAAATAATAAATAAATAAATAAATAAATTAATAGAATACGAAATAAATGAAGGAATGAATATAATGAATAAACAAACAAACAAATAAATGAACTTCTTAATGAATTAATCAATTACTTAATTATTAGAATAATAAATAAATAAATAAATAAACATGCATACAAATTAATAAATCAATGAATTAATTAATAGATAATTAATTAATGGATGGAATAATTAATAAATGAAGGAAAGAATGTTATAGATGAATTTAAAAAAAATACAAATATATATTTTTTAATAAATTAATCAGTTACTTAGTTAATTAATTATAAGAATGATAAATAAATAAATTAAATAAATAAATAAATAAATAAATAAATAAATAAATAAATAAATAAATAAATAAATAAATAAATAAATAAATAAATAAATAAATAAATAAAAACTAACTGTAAAGTTGATTCATTTATTCTTCTGCTTTTTTAAATAAAAGTTGATGGAATTATGCAAAAATTTCTGCATCTGACTATAGTATCATTCCGCATTACTAGTTTCCATTATATATTCCGAATTTCCTCTCTGCTGTTTTCCGATCTCGATGGAAATTTATTTCACGCATGCGCTCTGCCTGGTTATAGAGGCTGGTTACGAGATCCAAAACAGCATACATATTATACCTCTCGTCGGATCGAGATCATCTGCAAATTTGAAAAAAGGTAAACATTTTGTTGTAGAAACACCTCTTATGCATCTGATTGTTATAATTCACTGTCTTTTTTGTGTATTTTTGTGTTTACCCGCCGATAAATTAAAATTTACAATTTTATTTCATTTGCTAAGCTTTACACTAACCATACAAAGAGAACTCCTACCAGAATTTCCTCAGATTTTGTAATGGAGAACAAAAAGAGTCACGATGATGATACGATGGACTTTAACAAACTTGAAAAAGAGCTGGCGATGGCGGTAGAACAGGATCAACGGTATTGGAGAGAGAATGATGCTAAATTTAGAGCAGTCCATCAAAAAGTTGAATCTTATGAAGAATTTAGGTAAGCAAGTCAAGAAATGGATATACATACTGTTCTCATGTTGTCGATAAGGTAATACATGTGTTGTTATTTCAGAGATGTTAATTGTGTTATTTTTTCAAGATATTTTCAAAATATTTTACCAGAAAATAATTTACCTATTTTTCATGGGTTCAGGCTTCATCTTAACAATCTATTTTGTATAGAAATGTGCTGAAAATTTTACTAAGGAACTAAATGATCAGTCCAGATATAAAAGCTAAGCCAAGTCGTATGAATATTGAGCCTCAGTAGCGTCATATGTTAATATACACCTGTTCTATACACCACTCCAACAAAAATTGGAAGCTATTTAAAATCTGTGGCTTTTGACTAGGATTAAACTTTGGCCAGACAGAATAGCAATAACAAACAGGAAAAGACTGGTTAACTGATACCCCCCTTGTTACAAATCTAAGTGCTATTGTTACATGCTTATTTTTTTTTTTCAGAGACATTGTTCTTGCTTCTCATATAAAGCCATTAGAGAAGGGTGACACATTGCAAAATGTTACATTTGATGTCAAATGGAACTCTCATGCAGAAAATAGTAAAGCAAATCCACCAAGTTCTCACACATCTGACATTAAAAAGGTACGCTAAAAAGGGTAGAGTTTTTGGGAAGTAACTGATGTTTTTCAACTCTAGTAATTATTAGAAACTCCAGACTACACCATTGCATCAATTCTTATGATTTTAAATTAAAGCTCGGGTATTTGGGTCATGGTTTATAAATATGCATGTACCTGTTGACTTTTAGGTACATACATATTTATAAACTAAGACCCAAGTGGCTGTGAATTAAAGTTGTCATAAACAATCATTCAAAACTTCTAATTTGGATGTAATAACAAGATATAGAAATGAAATGATGGCTACAACAATGAAATCAGGTGTTTTAATCATTTGACAATTACCTTTAAATTATAAAGACCATTCAGTGAATATATACTTAACTTCTAGCAAGTTTTGTTCCTTGTTTGTTTGAAATCCATTTTCTGCTTTGACCTGAAATCTCTGAACAACACTATATTTTTTTAGTACCCGGTATATATTCCGTAAGATTCAACTTGGCGTAGGGAAAAAGAGTTTGGAAAGCAACTTGTTCATTGGTTTTAAAAGCTTGGATAAGTCTACGTTGTACAGATAACATGAGGCCAATATAAATGCCTCATTCATGAATAAAGAGACCAAGTTATAGAGAGAGGAACACAGTTTAATCAACCTAGGGTTTTCAATGAAGCTTTAGTGTCAATAACATACCCCTTTCATTTTTTTTTCTTTCCAAAAAAAGTCAGATAAAAAAAATCAGCTAAAGAAACTTTTGATAATTTTGTTGTACGTAATTTGTTTCCCCTCAAAATTTAGGGTAAAGACAGGGTACATGTATATTGCTAGATTACAAAACACACTTAGGGTATAGATGTGAGGTCAGTTACTTTATATTCAAGTTATAAAGAGCAATGTAGATAGATATGGAAACAGTTTTTCATTTTTGGAGAAAAAAAAAAACTACATTACTTTAAAAACTGCTCATATTAATTTGGTCAAGACTGATTTATTTTTTATTTACAAAATTATTGTTTATAACAATACTTGTACTACTGATTGATTAAGTCTTGAATTTAAATATTTAATTCTTTACATGATGGGATGCTTTCATCATATACAATGTGAAAACATCCCCCCTCCCCTCCTTCAAAAAAAAAAAAAAAAAAAATGAAACGAAAAACAAACAAACAAACATGGGACACAAAAAAGTTACCAGCAAATTTTCTGTTCCAGAGCTCCAATCTACCCAAAGACAGCCAGGAATTCACAAGAGATTGGAGGCGATACCACAAGTCAACAGCTGATCAGTATAACTTCCTGTTAGAAATGGGTGGTGCTCATCTTGGACAAATTTTTAAAACTGACATTAATCTTCTTGGAGATTTTTTGATAGCACTTGATTCAAAATACCAAGATCAGGATAGTGAAAATGTGACTGAGATTCTAGAAAGTTTGTGTTCAGCTCAGAGATTTATCCTGTCTTTTCAGTTCTTAAGTGGAAAAGAAAAGAAGGCATGTGAATCATTAATATTTAAATTAGAAAAATCAAATGAAGACTCTGCTTGGAAAGAAAGGATCAGAAAATTAAAATCCTCTTATCATATGAAATAAATATGTTGAATCCTATTTTGTATGCTTTATTTGCTATAAGCTAAATATATCCACATAATAATTATGATTCATTCTAAATCAAATATGTGTATATTTCCATGAATTGTAAAGATTCAACTGAAAAAATACATTAAGCTAAAAGCATTTCAAGGTGACACTGATTTCACATACATCTGATTTTGGATTAAAACGATATTTTAATTCTGCTTGCATTACTTAGGTTTATTAATATTTGAATATGCTCTGTTCTTTCCCACTATAAACCTTTATCCAGCAGTAGCATTTATAATCCCATAAACACAATTGCTCTCAGTTTATGCAATTTTAATTGTGTCAGACTTGGGCATTGAGAAATATGTGACATAAAAAGACAATGTCGTTCAAGAGTATATATAGAAAACATACTTAAATAGATTAACTGGTAGATTATAATTAAAGTCTCTAAATAAGGAAAGAATAAGTATCAATTAACATTAATTTTAAACTTTTTGAAATTAATTTTAAGCAACGTTCAAATCTGTACAATAAACTTAAGATATCTCCAAATAAAAGACGTGCTTAAATGAAAATAATTTACATACGTATAATTTTACACTGAAGGAAAGATAATTCTTCACAAAGGTTATGTTTAATTATGACTTAACGAAATGATGTCACACTAAGCAAAAGGACATGAACTTTACAACATTTTCTTAATAATTTTATGTCAAAGATTATTTGAACTCCAAAAAATGAATAAAACATGCTAAAAATTGCATGAAAATATGAAATTCTTTTCTTATAATTATCTGTTACAGAGGTAAAATACTTTGAATGATGATGTCATACTTAGCTGTTTATACTTTGAATTATGATGTCATAATTAGCTATTTATAATGGGATATGACAAGTGAAAATGAAATGAAACAAGAAGATGGTTAAGATGACATAAACTGATTCATAAAATAGGTGTTAAGAAATATTGTGAATATTGTATGTGATTCATTTAGAATTCATATTAAATCAGATAAATCTGCTGATTGTCATCAATTATTTTTTTTAAGACAAGCAGTCGTGCATAAATCCCAGTCAGCCTTTCCTCTGTCACTGACTTGACAAAATCATGACATGCAAATACATTGTATAAGTAATAAACAATGATATTCAGTGAACATGGCATTATATTTACATTACACATGTATTTTGCTTATAAAGTGTGTGGAAAGCTAAGGCATTCAAAACAACATAACATAGACAGGGGGTCAAAAGGTTAAGGTATGCGTTTTATTTTGACGTCACAAATGCTGAACACCGTGGAATTACGTCATAAGCGAAATTCAAAATTCACGCTCACAATGAACAGAAGCTATTGCAACTGCTCTTCCGTTATTTGCAACTTACCCGAAGGATAATACAGGGATTTTGAAATATAAATCACATTTGCAGGCAAGGCAAGGGGTTAAAAATATAAATATAAGCATTGAATCATTATTCTTTGAAAGATATAGTCTCATAACTCCAACGGTGTGTGCAAACAAATTTTCATACAGCGCTCACGCGCATTAATCAATTTGTTTGCACACACCATTGCAGCTATGAGACTATATCTTTCAAAAATAATGATTCAATGCTTAAATGAAAAGCAATTGCTCTGCAGGATAAATTCCATGTTGTGCTATGACATTGAGTCGATGACCTTACCTTGGCTTTACACTCGAATAATTTTTGGAGAAAGCATGCTGCAAATTAGGGACAACTGAGTTTCTTCTCTGACTGTGATGTCTTATTTACTTATGTTTAGCAACCTTTTATTTCTGGATATCATTCCTTCTTATCCTATACCTTTCAACTCAAATATAAATGCTTCTTAGTGAGAGCATTTAGGCCTTGAATAGGACTTGTCTTACCAACCATCAGTTGGACCTTGACCATCTCAGTAATGCCATTCATTGTAATAGTGGGCAGGGTATTCAGTTCCCAAATTAAAATCTACATCTGGTATAGATGATTCATATTATTAAATTTAAACTGATCATTCCATATTTGAAACAACAGTGAAAAAAAAAGGTTCAAAATTTTATACCAACCACTTAACTACAATAAATCATGATCATTTTAGTGCACACTTTATTGTAAATTGAATATTTGAGATACATGTGTATTTCTAAAAAAATTATAAACTGTCTTTCTTTCTGTAATAAAAAAAAATCATTGACCAGCATGAATTTTATTTTTGTGACAAATGAGAATCTAATAAAACTTAGACATGACTCAAGCCGATTTATACAGCTTGTCACTTGTTGAGAAAACCCCTGTCCATATGTCCAGTCCCTCTTTGAAGTTTGTTTCTGTTCCTCTTCAGTCTGTCTTCAACAGAACTCTTGTCTGCATGGCTTGCCATCATAGGACTTTAAAAAGAAAAAAAAACATCATGAAACCTGGACTATATTGGAATTCATTACAATACTGTAGTAGAAGTCTTGGTTAAAGTTTCTGCCAAAAAATAAGGAAAAAAAAGAAAAAGAATGCATTTCACTCTGCAAGAGTGATAATTAAAAGTTTTTCTTGCTTTTTAAGTGGAATATTCATTATTAATATGTCTAATTTTGTCTGATTATCTTGTGTCTTACTTGAGGAATTCTGGCTCCTCTTTGCTCCTCAGGGCCTCTTCTTCCTTTCGGTCCTCCTCGGTGTAGCGTTTTACATTAGATTTCCTCTGTTCCTCCCTCCACTGGGCATTCTGCATCATTTCCTCCAATTTCTTCTTCTTTTCATCTTCTGTTAATTTCCTTTTTCAGAAAATAATTTACAGGGAAATAACAAATAAAAGATCTATGCTTATTATTGCCATCATAAGATTTATTATTGGTCTAAATCAACATCGTTTTACTAAAATTTACAGAATTTTATTTCACATACTTAGCCACATACAGTACATGTAAATACAAATGAATTTTTTGCATCAGTCATTAAATAATCAATAAAAATCACAGATTCAGCATTAAGAATTTGTCCAATCTGATTAAAATCAGATCTTTGTACAGCGACCATCAGAATTTCGGAGCGTAACAAAGATCTGATTTTAATCAGATTGAGTATTTGTCATAGTCAGGTGTGGTTAATATTTTCAAAACACATGTAAGATCATCTTGTACATGATTGGTCTGAAATTTTCAGGTAAATCTAACCTTCTCACTGGGGATCTACTCCTGTCCCTGTGTGACCCAACCCCTGACCTTGGTTTTGGAGATTTAGAATGCTGCCTTGGTGACCTTGACCTTCTGTTTGTCCTTGAATATTTGTCATCTCTCCTATGATCTGGTGACCTAGATTTCTTTCTCTCTTCTCTCTTTCTATGTTCTGGGGAATTAGAGACTGCTTTTGTGTAAGATGACTCGGTGTTTTTCAGTTTCTGTGAGCAAAAAGACAATCAGAATCAAGTATTGGTGGCTCCAGTGGTTATTTAACAGGTTGTTTAAAACTAATTTAGCTCTCAGACTTAATCAGAACAAGATGTGTTTGTGAAACACTGATGCCCCCGTATGGCAGCTTGTGGCGAAGGTTAAAGTTTCTTAAATGCAAGTCAAACTCCAGGTAAGAAATCAAAAATGTTGGTACTCAAAGAAAGGTCTTGTCTCGAGGAATATACCTGTGAATTATGAAAGCCCTAGTACAAACCGTTGAAAAAATATGGTGTAGGTTAAAGTTTTTTTTAAAGTAAGTAAAACTGCAAGGTCAAGGTCAAATGGTGCACAAGGGAAGTTCTTGTCACAAGTCATACAAATGATCGTGAAATGTGAAAGCCCTAGAACCAAACGTTCAAATGTTATGGCCAATGTGAAACATTTTTAAAAGTAGGTCAAACTCCAAGGTCAATGCCAAAATTGTTGGTATCCAAAGGAAGGTCTTGTCACAAGGAATATACATCTGAAGTATGAAAGCCCTAACACCACTTGTTCAAAAGTTATGGCCAAGGTTAAAAGTTTTTCAAAAGTAGGTCAAACTTCAAGGTCAAGGTCAAAGGTCAGAGTTGTTGATATTAAAAGGAAGGTCTTGTCACAAGGAATGCATATATATGTGAAGTATGAAAGCCCTAACACCTATTGTTCAAAAGTTATGGCCAAGGTTAAAGTTTTTCAACAGTAGGTCAAACTCCAAGGTCAAAGGGTCAAAGCTGTTGGTATCTAAAGGAAGGTCTTCTCACAAGGAATGCATATGTGAAATATGAAAACCCTAGCACTTACTATTCAAAAGTTATGGCCAAGGTAAAAAAAATTCAAAATTGAAGTAGGTCAAACTCTAAGGTCAAGGTCAAAAGGTCAAAGCTGTTGGTATGCCAAGAAAGGTCTTGTCAGAAGCAGTACACATGCAAAGTATGAAAGACCTAGCTCAAACTGTTCAAAAGTTATAGCCAAGGTTAAAGTTTTTTCAACAGTAGGTCAAACTCCAAGTTCAAGGTTAATGGATTACATAGTTGGTATCCAAAGGAAGGCCTTCTCACAAGGAATACATTTGTGAAGTTTGAAAGCCCAAGCTCCAAGTGTTCAAAAGTTATGGCCAAGGGTAAAGTCTCATAAAATTTTGCAAAAGTGGGTCAAACTCCAAGGTCAAGGTCAGAAGGTCAAATATGATGGTGCCCAATGAAAGGTCTTGTCACAAGGAATATACATGTGAAATATGAAAGCCATAGCTCCAACCAATCAAAAGTTATGGGCAAGGTTAAAGTTTTTGCAGACAAACAAACAGACAGACGGACAGGGCAAAAACTATATGCCCCCAAATCTTCGATTACGGGGGCATAAAAAAGAGAAGAAATAAAATTTCAAATTAGATGAATGCTTATGTTATACATTTGTGTGTTATACAGTTATGGTTTTCCAACTGATCATGATAATTGATATTGACGTTAAGATAAGTAAAAACCCAGACATACTTGCCAGATTGAACAGGTGGCAGTTTTGATTGTTAAAAATTTCACAGCCAGTAGTTATTCTGAACTTTTAACATTTGAAATGAATGATAAAATCAACAAGAATTTATTTCTGTTTGTTGTGAAATTAAGTGGAAATTTTATTTACTTGACACTTTCATTAATGAATGATAATAATTCTTTTTTAAAATTGATTTACTTAATGAATCATAGGCTTTGGGCAATGCAAGCCAAAATATTGTTTAGGCAAAGAAATTATAGAGTTTATTGTCAGATGGAGATGTGAGAATTTAGGGTTCATTGATTCTCTGACAAGAAGGATAATTGTGATGGAATATATGTCTATTATTTCTTTATAAATCTTTAAATCAAAATGTCGTTTTTATCCAATTTAGCCCCACAAGCTAAGTTATTTTATTTTTTTTTTTTAATTATAAATACATTTCGTTTAGAATATCATAAGAGTTAAAGCAACATTTTATATGAGTGAACAGAGGGATTGTGAACCCTGAGTTAATGGTCTTTCCCTGAAAGGTTTCAATGTATTAACCTTAAGGTTTGTTAATAGAGCTTTGGTCTCAAAGTCTGTCTGAATCATACAGTGTTTTAGTGGAAAAAAATAATAATTTTATTTCGGCATTTAAAGTTCATAGAGTTTGAGATATTGAGGTTTGACTGTATTTTTTATTTAGGCACTATAACTTACAATTAAACCATATTGTTTGAGAGGTCTTCTTTCTGGTTCACCATCACTGGCAGAACTTGAACTACTTGAACTTTCTGACCTTTTGCTGCTTTGTGTTTTAATCTTCTTTGCAGGGAGACTGTCGCCTTTATGGGGCGACTCCTTCCTGTTTTGTCTGTATATAGGCCTTTCCTTCCTCCTATCTCTACTCTCCTCCTCAGAATCTGTTTCACTGTCAGATGAGTCATGTCTTTTTGATTTACTAGTTCTCTTTGATTCTATTTTTCGCCTGTATTTCTCACCAGACCTTTCATCTGATTCAGAACCTGAAGACTCTTCTCTTTTCTTTCCAGCTCCTGACCTGTTTTTCCTATTATCTTTCTCATCAGACACAGAACGTCTTTTAGAAGTGTAGCCTTCTTTTTTCCTTCCTCTTTTCTGAACTTCCTCGGATTCACTTCCTGATGAATCATGCCTTTCTCTATGCCCCCCTCTGTGCTGATCATGTCTCCTATCCTGAGTTTGCCTTCTATCCTGCTCCCCGGATCTTTTCCTTGACCTACCTGAGGAATTTCTGTACTGAGGAGATGAATCCCTATATCTTTTATCTTGTGAGTTATGGGGTCTGTCTCTAAAATACTGGTTGTGAGAATTGTCCCTTGATTTTCTAAAACTTCCTGAATTTCCTCTGTCATCTTCAGGCTCTTTCCTTCCTCTTTCCTGATATCTTTTCTCAGGCCTGGATTTTGATACCCTGTCATGATATGAATCCTCTCTGTCTCTGTGTTCTGATCTTCCCTGCTGTCTTTCCTTTTTTTGGTCACCTCTATGTTTCCCTTTGTTTGATTGTTTATCATCATCATCCTCTCTTTTCCCTTTCTTTTTATTCAAGATGTTTAAATATTTCTTCATCAAATCATCATCTGAATCATCTGACCCTTTTTGCTTTTTATGCTTCTTTTTGGCTTTCTTTTTCTGCTTTTCCAGCTGAATCAGACAAATTTAAAAATGGTTTCAGCAAAATTAAAACAGTTATATATTTCATAGGGTAGTGGTTACATTAAATAAATCAAAACTATGCCACTCACATTTTTCTGTAGTTGTTTCATTCTCACTGGATTTTCAAGAAGTCTCTTTTTTACATCTTCTTCCCTTTTTCTATGAAGAAATATAATATTAAATTGATTTATTCATTACTTTCTCATCAGACAGGAATGTAACAAAGATACTTTAAAACTGGCTAGTAATACTCTTAATTCAAGAAAAAAAAATCACAAAACTATTTTACTAATTTTTTAGACTGTTGGGCAACAAAAATATCTTTACTTTGGTACTTGATTTTAGATAAATGATCATTGCAAAGTCAAAACGAATACTGAAATACCTAATAGCAAACAGTGGGTCCTCTCTTGCTTTGTTCTGCATATCAAGCTGAATGTTGGCTTTGATTCTCTCATTGAACAGTGCAATGTCATCTTGAAATTCAAAGAAAAACCAATAATCCTAAATTTCTTTAAAAAATCACTAAAAAAAATCTTTGTGTTGCTTTTAAGAATGCATATGTGTGACTTGTAATCTTCAATTTACGTTTATTAATGGATTTATAGTTTAAAGTATGATCAATTTATCTATGCTAAGACATTCCTCAATGTTGCAGATTAGATATTCAAAGAATTTTTTCACAAAATTCTAAAACAAACAAGCATAATACACAGTATCGTGATTACCTCCTGTTTGTCTTACTGTTGTTCTTTTGAAGCAAAGTCTAGGAACCTCTAACATTTCTAAATCTGGTAAGATTTCCATGACATAAGACTTTTAACGCTAGTGACAACTGAATGACTCAAATAAGTATTAGTTGTATGCTGAAAGTACAATGTGTTGCCAAGGGTTGCACCGTAGATAGTGTGTCATCTTAGAGTATTTTATCAACTTCCAAAAGTAACAATTATCAAAAAAAAAAGGTTGAATTTAATTCAAAGAGTTGGATTAGCAGAAAGTATCTCCAAAATTGTAAATAAAAGGACTAAATCAATTTTATTAGCATGGTTTACTGAATGTTCTGCAAGATATTTCTCCAGTACTTCTTTCTGATATGTCCTTAAAAAAATTACAGTGATCAGATCACGGTGTGTATTTAACAGGGCATTATCCTCAGCTGACAGATGATTCCTACCTCCACTGCAAAAGAGTTTCTTTTACTTAAGTAATCGCGATATCAAGTACTATAGTATTTCAATGCAAAGAAACCTATTCTTTTATAAATACCATCTTTGACGACTTCCACAGCTTCCTCAATGTGCCTGTCCACTGGTTTACCCAGTAGATAATCATTACTGTCTGGTTTACTTTCTTTGCGCATCCAATCTAATCCTCCGGCTGTCCCTTCCCTACAATTACAAAATCCTCCTGTGAAGATTCATATATATGTAATTTAATTTTAATTGTAATACATGTATGTCATTTGATTGGATAAGAAATTAGTTTATACATGTATCATATAACCTGTGTTGCCTATATCACAATGACTTACATAAAAAATGTAGCAATCTGCTTCTGTTACTTTTAACATACATGTATGTTCTATTGAAGACATTTTTTGAAGGAGAAATTGTCTTATTTTCTGCACTAAATGATGGAATATTAAATTATAAGGAATAAATTGAATAGCTACCCAAGTTATACTGGTATAACCTGGGTTGGAACAGTTTATGCGTTTTAATTAACCGCTTTGTGGTTTATAAAGCGTAAACTGCCCCAGAGTTGAATATAATGTAATATGTAAAAAAATATGAACACTAATGTAAATTCACTTTTGTTGCACATTTTCAGCCAAAAAAAAAAAAAAAATCAAAAGGAAGGGGTGCACGCTATATAGGTCAAATCGGAATTCCACATCATCCACAAAGTCAATACTCTGGTCATCCAATGACCATGTACATGTAAATATTTCAAATTAGACCTCAACGAAGTAACTTAGCATCATCTTATGGCCAGCCATCCTCCAATATTTTTCCATCTTGAGTCACAAGTAGGGCAAACAAATCTGGTAAAGGACCAGCAACTTTATATGTTTACTGGTCTTGTGGAGCGATGAGTTAAAATGCTAAGCTGCAAACACTGTCTACAGTGCTGTGCCATGTTTCCCCTTTCTAGGAAGTCTCAAATTCCAAGTGCAATATCAGAATGAAGGTAGTTTAAAGCTTATTTAAAAAAGATTCCACTGAAGATAATACTTTGAAACTTCTAGTATTTTGTAGCATGACCTTGGCTTTTAGTAGGGCTAGGACAATACAACTTTTTCTATATTGATACGTATCATGATATTTGAGCCACGTACGATACAATATGTACCACGATACGTTTAATTGGTTATAAAATCATTTCTTTTAATTGAAATGAATAAAACATTCTTCACAAATAGGAATAATTTATTCAAAGAAGTTGTATATCTGTTAAAAACAAAATTATTTTACACAAGTGGCTTTAATTATTATGTATTTCATATTTATTATTATAGTTATATTTAGCATATTAATTTTATATATTAAGCCCAATATGTTAAGTAAACAAAGAACAACTGTTAAACATAAGTCAGAATTTTTTGTGATATTTTGTGATATTTCTTCATACATATCGATTTGTGTATCGTCCTCACACAGAATCGATATTATAGATATCTCGATATATCGTCCCAGTCCTAGCTTTTAGGACAGTTTGAATTTGTCTCGGTAGGGTGTGGTAAAGGCACTGTCCAGGAGTCAAGGAATTCCAGATCCAGATTATCTTTTCTTGGGTGAAGAGTTTCAAACTGTGCAGAAAGCTGGAGTTTTATTTGGATAAAAGCTATTTACGTTGGATATATTTAATGTTAATAATTCAAAAATAAAGCAATCTAATCAAATATTGATGCAACTATGCTATAAAAACTTTACAGGAGAAAATTTACACATCAAGTTCTGTAAAACTATACTAGGTCTGAATAGGAAAAGTACGAACCATGCCTCTCTTTCAGAATTAGGTAGATATCCTTTACATTATGATATTATCAACATGTTACTTAAATATTGCTACAGATTAGAAAATTTAAATTCAGATTTCCCTTTACTAAAAGATGCATTTATATGTAGTAAGGAACTTCATTTCGCCCAAAAAAAAACTTGGTACTCCTCAATAGAAAAATTACTAAAAATTCTTGATATCCCAAACATAATGTCCTATACTAAGAGTAATTTTATGAATTCATTAAAACAATCCATGAATAAAAAATACTCACTTGATTGGCAACACTCAAATGAAACACTAAAAGAGGGCAAACTTGTCACTTATTTATTTCTGAAGAACAATTTTAGATTGGAAAAATATCTAATTTTATTAAAACCTGAATACAGAAAACCAATATGTAGATTACGTGTATCAGCGCACAGACTTTTAATAGAATTAGGTAGATATAATAACACACCCAGATCAGAAAGAATATGTAAAAATTGTATGCTTAATCAAATTGAAGATGAAGAACATTTCCTTATTCACTGTAGCAAATTTACAAAGGAAAGAGAAGACCTATTTAACCTGATCTCATCTAAAGTAAAACATTTTACAGATCTGCCTGATAAACAAAAATTATTCTGGATTCTAAATTGCGAAGAACTAGATATACTAAACTCTCTTGGAAGATTTTTACAAACAACATTACCATAAATTTTAGGAATGTAACTTTTTTTTCTTTTTTTTTTTTTTTAAATTATTAATTATGTAAAAGTATGATACTTTCAAGTATATGGTTTAGTAATGTATGCATATATATATGATGTACTGTATATATACCTATAAAACAAGTCTTATGTTCATATAAAATATTTTAGGTATTCCCCTAATTGTATGTCTTTTCTATCAATCAAGCAATTCTTTCCCTCTTATGTATATGTATATTGTATTTCGTGTGTATGATCATAATCATTATATACATTTTAACAATGTACTTTCTTTTTGCCCCATGAGGGCCCTTAATTGGTCAATAAACGAATTGAATTGAATATATTTAGAATAGTTTAGTCTGGATAAGTACTAGGACATTATTTACGCTAGTGCATATAAGAATTTGTGTAACTTTTCTCAAGTAAGTTGTTTTTTGACTTTGTTTACAAGTCATGTCCTACTTTCGATTCTTCCCTTGTGTATTTTTTATATGTGTAGTAGAGAACTGAGCGGATAAGATGCTCCTGTGATCTGTTTTTGAATAATCAGATTTTAATAAAACGTTACTTACATTTTCTCCTTCAATAACTGTTTCATCTTTCTTTTCTCGTCATCCATTATGTTCTGTGCGATATCTCAAATTCTTTAAATATATCTTTATCCTTAAAAATTGGTAACTTCTCTGAAATCCATAAAATATATAAACGTGATATATTTTTGTAATTCAGAAAAATCAAGTAGGAAATTCAAAGTATAATATAAACTGAGAACCAACATAAACTTTTCCGGATTTAAAATAGACATGCGCTCCTCTAGTCGGAACATCACTCGGCCTTTTCCGTCAATTTTTTTTTCTCCGCTTTGACGGAAAAGGCCAAGTGATCTTCCGATTGTCATGCCCCTCCCAACTAGGTTCGCATTTCATTAGCAATATTTCATTTTTTGGTCAGATATTTTATTTTATGACTTTTTTCCCCTTTGATGCTAACGAGACTTGCAATTCGAACATAGGCCTAGAGTTACTGAATTTAGGCTAGCAACCCAAGTCCCTCAGGTTGACTTCGGGTCAATACAAACTTAGTTAACTTAAAGGTTAAAATTTAAGGACCGCAAGGTACAAGAACTTGTAGCAACTAGATTATTTGTTTCCTTCCTCATCAAACACTTATTTGCAATCATTTAACATCAAATCAAGCAATTAGCAAGCCAAAAAAAAAAAAAAAAAAAATTAAAAGGAAAACAAAACAGTGCCTCGTTTCCCTCCTGAAAGCAATTATATACATTTTCAGAGGAGATTTTAAGCTAGGATACTCGGCTCTTCATTGTGGAAGTTTTTAATTAATGGAAGAATTTTCTTTAAAAAAAATGGGTAACACTTAGTTTGGCAAGCAGATGAACTCTACAATATATACAAAAAATGAAGACACCTCTTTTCTCCGATTAAATAACGAGATATGTTGTCACTGACATTTTTATAGTTTTCCTTTCGTGCCAATACCAGAGCAGCGACACGTTCATGGCGGGTAGTAATTATTGGTCCAATTATATAGCTAATATTCATTGAATTGTTTTTAATGAACCTCAGTTTTATGAACAAGGAAATTGGCATGTCCGTTCCCGACTTCGGATGACACAAAGTGATAATGCCATTAGAACTATCAGTAAGAAAATCTCTGCTACTGAAAGAAGAGTGGGACATGGGGGACTGGCAACATCTTTTATCTATGAAAAGCCAAATGAAACAAACTATGAAATTCTGACCCCTCCTGCGGCAGCTCATTTTCAAGGTTAAAGTTTTTAAAAGTAGGTCAGACTCCAAGATGCAGGTCAGGAAGTCAAAGATGTTGATACCCATATGAAGGTCACGTCACAAGGAAAGATAAAAATGAAAGCCGTAGCCCCAATCATTCAGGAGTTATGACCAAAGTTCAAGTTTTTCGAAACCCGATCAACTCAAAGGCCATGTGGTCAAAAATTTTGTTCATGAGGTCAAAATTTTGGTACCCAAAGAAAGGCCTTGTAACTAGAATTACATGTATGTGAAGTATGAGAACCCTAGCACCAATCGTTCGAAAGTTATGGTCAATGGTTTTTCAAATGTAGGTCAAATTCCAAGATCAAGGTCAGAAGATCATGCATAATTGTTGGTATCCAAAGAAAGGTCTTGTCACAATGAATATACATGTGAAATATGAAAGCCCTAGCACCAACTGTTCAAAAATTATGGTCAAGGTTAAAGTTTTTGCGGACGGACAGACAGACTGACCAAAAACTATATGCCATTGAATCTCTGATTAATTACGGGGGCATGAAAAATAATGATTAGATGCTGTTACTTTTTAAAGAACCAATATCTCCTCCATTCCCAAACTAAACCTTACCTTCGGCGGCGCTTTTTTGTTGCACTTTTTGGGTATTATTTCTTGTATTATATGCCCCCCCCCCCCCGGACAAAATAATAAAGTGTATACATGTATTACTCGTTATCTTGATACTTCATTTACCTTTCAACGGTCCCAATTAACATGACCTCAACATTGATGTCGGAATGTTAATATTTTGAAACCGACATTCAAAGGCAATAAAGGCTGTTTGGGACCGTTGAAAGGTAAATAAAGTGACAAGGATGCCTTAAAATATATGGTTAATCAATGGATACTATGCTTTTGTAGAGGAAATATGTATACATTACATGAAATAATACCCAAGACGTGCGACAAAAATCGAAGGTTTTAAAAATACTTGGATCTGAGCCCTCTGGTTTCTCTGTCCAAATTTTCTCCAGTTCCTTGCCAGAACATCAAAACAGCATCGGAAAATGGCAATTTAATCTTACAGGAACATGACACTAGCATTAATCCAAAATTTGATGGAAATGCTTCAATATCCCATTTTTACCATGTTTACAAAAAGTCAATGAGAACTGTCGACATTTGTGCAGTAATACCACTTATCTGTCAAAATAGGTAGGATGTGCTCTTGCACCGCAGCTGGTTTGTTGATGTTCTTTATTTCTTCAGTTCTAGTAGCAAAGAAAACTGACGACATAATGTGAATTGGCTATAATGTCGTGGGTACTTGTATAAGAAAGCGAGTACTTTTAAACCTTCTCTCTATAAAAGGCATACTTTTCATAATTCTAATTAGTTCATTTGTATAAAAATGCCCTTGAATCACTTTTAAAATAAGTACATGTACTTTCAAACAATGAAAATTGCGACAGTTAAGATTTTTGATATACTAAGTATTTTTCTTATCACACAGAAAATTCGGTATATTATTGTTATCCTCTGCCGTCCATCACTCTTATCATCCGTTCTCCTACATTTTTAGAGGTAGCCAAGAAATTCTTTTTGCCATTATATGACTTGGCAATGTGTAATATAAGATTTTGAATTTTTGGCGTCAGGGGTTGTCATTGCAGGCCAGTAGGATGCAATTTCAATTGGGGGGGGGGGCACAACCAAACATTTACAGTTTGGAGGGGCACTACCAAGTAAGTATTCAAAAAGAAAAAAAGGTAATTAGACATTATTGAAGGGACACAAGCATATAAAGTAGCTATCTTCTACAGTATACTACATGTATATATCGACAAAATTATTGGGCGGTGCCCCCCCCCCCTTTTTACCCCCGGTTCCCACGGCCAAGCATTGGCCTAGGGTGTTGTCCAGAAATCAGCTTTTCATTAGAGGATAAAAGAGAAAACTTGGAATAAAGTAGTTATCAATACACTTGACACTTGCCTCTGGCAAATTCTTTTGGTGGATCTATACCTTCATGCAGAGATCGCATGAGCTTTTTAATATTTTGATTAGATTTATTGACTGTAGAATAAGAAATAACAGGTGAATGGCAGTGGGGGCAATTAATAGGTAGGATTTAAAGTGTGCATAAAGGGAAAGTGTCGTTTATTGTCGTTATGAGGATGATATCCTACATTGTGTTCTCAGGCCACCACCTCGTGCACACCAAATTCCTTGCAAAATAGATATATTTGATGGACATTATGTATCATCTTAAATTATTTTTCACTCTGTTTCCGAACTTTGCCTTTCTTTTTAAAAATTGTCTTCTCATGAAAGCCTTCAACAATGCAATCTTCAAAAATATTCTTCTTTACTCCTGGGCTTTAAGCAGTTAAACTGTTACAATGATTGTAACAAGCATTGAACCTTCTACCAAAATTATGAAATTCATGGCCTCAGGGTCAGGGGTTCTAATGATCATATAGTGAGAATACATAAATTCTTTAAAGAAATTTCTCTCGCCCCTGTATATTTAGCAGAAACTAGGTACATGATTGTGATGAGCAAGGGTGCCTCTTCCAAAATTGTGAAATTTGTGGCCCCTTGATCAGGAGTTCTGTTGGGGGGGGGGGGGGTGTCTATTGACGATATAGTGAAAATAAATGCATTATTTCTTTGAAAATCTCCTCTTCTTCTGTGTAATAAGGAAATAAAATAAATGGAGGATGATGATGAGCAAGGGTGACTCTTCCAAAATGGGAATTTCATGGCCCCAGGGCCAGCGTTCTGGTGCTAGGATGGATCGAGCTCTATTGATTATAAAGTGAAAATGAATTATTTCTTTGAAAAGCTTTTTCTGCTCCTGAGTATCAAGGAAACACACAATGTGTTTGGTTATGATGAGCAAGGGTGCCACTTCCAAAATGGTGAATTTCATGGTCCCAGGATCAGAGTTCCTTGTGTTAGGGTGGGGCTCTATGGATAATAAAGTGAAAATGCATTATCTTTTCATTGAAATTCTTCTTCCTTTTCTACTGTGTATTAACAAACAAACTAAGAGCAAAGTAATGAAGAGCAAGGGTGCCTCTTCGAAACTTGAGATTTTCATGGTCCTTAGGTCAGGGGTTCTGGTGTTAGGGTTGGGCTCTAGAGATAAGATTATTAAAATGCATAAATTCTTTAAATATCTTCTCTTCCGAAGGATATTTTGCAGACAAACTAATTGCATGGTTATAATGAGCAGGATGCCTCCTGCAAAATTATGTTAAGGCGGGGCTCTGTTGAATATGAGTATATAGTGAAAAATGCATTTATTTTGAAAATGTTCTGTTCTGCTCCTGGGTATTTTCAAACATCCAATCTGATTAATATCAGATCCTCAGTGCTCCTTTTTTAACTGTATGTCGCTCAAGAGGCAGAATATCGTTAAAAAGGGAGCATCGAAGGTCTGATTTTAATTAGATTGTCAAACATAGTAAATGTATGATTATTATGTTCAAGGGTACTTCTTCCAAAATTGTGAATTTATCGGCCCCTGAGCCAGAGGCTCTAGTGTTAGGACGGGGTTCTATTGATTATACAGTGAAAATGCATTAATTCTTTGAAAAACTTCTTCTCTTACCTGGGCACTGATTTAGGAGACACTCTAAGTGTGTAGTTATAATGAGCAAGGATGCCACTTCAAAAATTATTTATTTCATTGTCCCTCAGTTAGAGATTTTGGTGTATGGGTGGGGCTATGTTGAAACTATATAGTGAAAATGCATTATTTCTTTGAAATTTTTCTGCTATGCTCCTGGACATCTAGGAGACAAACAGAGTACCTAGTTGTAGTAGTAGTGCCAACATGAAAGTGAATGAAATGCGTGCCCTTATAGTACTCATTGTTGTACTCAAGCATTATTGTTTTGATTAGTTTGCA